ATGAATAAGAAAAGACAGAGTGATAAATAGATAAGACCTAGTGAGGAGGTTTTTCTCCCTGTGTCTGCTCGTATCATCTCAGAGCATCTTTGTTTGCCCTTTTTTCTTCTCATGCAGAGTTAAACACAGGTCAGATCCAGGAGGGAGTCGGAGAGGCCATCAATGGGATTGTGAAGCACTTCCACAAACCGGAGAAGGAGGTGAGAGACGGCAGTCTAGACAGGCCCCAACATGTAGTTCCATTATTCATCACAAATGAAAGAAAAGCAGCTTTCTGCTTTGGTGGTCCCAAAGCCCCTCAGTAACTGGGGAGCGACTTGTTTTATTCACATTGTTTAAATGTATGAGAGAAGAGCTTATTCTGGTCTTCAGAAATAAAAATCATTCTTCATCATCGTGTTCTTGTCCAGACTGATACTTGATATTTGTTCTGCTCTCAAGGCAGTAATAATAATGTGTAGCCAGCCTAACAGTACAAAGGACTTTGAATGGGAAATCCCCTTCACTACTGCTCCACCTCTTTACAGGACTAATGGAACAATGGAGAGAGGCTGCTTATATAAAAAAATGTCCCTTAAATGTACTCTGTAGTTGGAGCTATCACAATGTTGAGATATGTGCTGCTATATTACGTTTTCTATGGCATGCTTGTGTGTTTTGATGTCATGTAAAGTATTTCAAACATACACATGATAGCTTGCTTACATGCTTAGATTCACATGCCGATAACACAGCAACATTTGATCAGTTTGGTTCATCACAGATGTAAACAGTGTTATCTCTTATAATGATTCCTTACTGTATAAAAAATGACCTATGGAGCCAGAGAGCGGCGTCTTGTAAATATTTCACCAGTTAGTTTGCACCTTAGTCTTTTTTTCTGCAAGACACAGGGCAGTAAAGAAGTTACTTTATATTAGAAACTGGATCTAAGAAGCTGTTGAGAATTGTATTTTTTTATTTTCATTTGTTAAAATAAATTCAATTAACCACATTTGTTTTCCTTCTTTTTTTGCCCTGCACAGAGAGGCAGTTTGACTCTTCTCCTCTGTGGGGAGTATGGCCTCGTCTGGGCCCTGGAGCAAGTTTTCCAGCACGGTTTCAAATCACCCAGACTGTTTAAGAATGTCTTCATCTGGGATTTCTTGGGTAAAAACTCGTTCAAATCTCTTATATCGTTTTGATGATATTCCATCCACAATGTAAAGAGTTTGGCTATCAAACAACCAGACTCTGTACTGAAGAAGTAAGAGTTTTTTTCATCATGAACAATAGCCACCCTGGCCAGTTGAAGTCATAGCCAGCTACACTTGCCTCCAATAGTGACCTGTTTTCATGCTTCAACAAACATAAAGTAAAAGTTCTCTTGCAGCAGTATTCACTGCTTATGTCATTGTTACAGTTTTTTGTAACCAAACTAGTAGTGTCTTAAATAATACAATTTGTAACAAGGGTAGGTGTAATAAGCTAAAGCTTCAGCATACACCTTTTCGGTCAAAATGTTTTTGTTTTTTCTTGTGACCGAAATAAATGATTACGACTACTATTGTTTGGTAAAAGATCATGCTGGTGGAAAAAGGTGAATGGGTTTTTGAGTAGGATTGGTTTGGGATATAATTAACGTAAAATCAATACTACATCAACTACTCCATTTAAAAAAAGTTGTGGAAACAATGAATAAGGTTAAACTTGTGTTGAGGATGTTTTGTTCAAACTTTGTTTGTCTATTTGAAACACTATTTGGGGTCAATTATCATTCATAAACATCTAAATAATACCGTGTAATGTATTACTACCTAACTTTCTTTTGATTCTTTTTTGTTTCAACAGAAAAGTCACAAGTGTACTTTGAAGGTGCAGAGCAGCGAGAGGTTATTCCGGATGAAAACTGGCAAACCAGAGTTCGCCATTTCTGCCGCTTTATGCGCGCCATCAACAACACGTCGAGAAACATTGGCAAGGACGGAAAGTTCCAGATGCTCGTCTGTCTGGGTGCGAGGTGAGTCGAAAAAAAAACACTAGCTTACCATCAGGACATATTTAGATGTCGAGGACATTTGTTGTGTTTCACAAGGACATTCAGTCTTCAGGTTCAGTGCAGTGAAACTTGTATAGCAAAAATAAGATTTCAGCTGCTGATAGGTTGTAGTGGTGAGTATTGACTCTGTTCCTCTCGTAAAGAATCTGTATCCTCATACTGTATATCCACTGCCATGTAGTATATTTACAATTTAGAAGCGGTGATTGCTATGGCTGCCTGCTTAGTCTCTGCAAACTCTTTAGCACATGAATCGAGCTTAAGCCCAAAGAATACAAATGAATCCTTCCTGCTGAATAGTCCTTTATAAGAACAACCCTAACCCTATAAGAACATAGCAACCTATCAGTCCTGGATGCACTGCTCTCCTCCTGACCCTGCATCCTGACCTGCGATGAGTCAAGTGAAAATGATCTCTCCTTGGAGGATTCTTGATGTATGAAATATTTGATTGGTTTCCATCAGTGCTTCCTCCCTGTTTTTGTGTTTTTGTGTCTGTGTGATGAGTGTACAGTATACTGATGCAGTTGTTTGTATGTTGATGTACAAATGTGTTTATTATTAACCGATTTCTATTAATTACATCTCAGTACACTATAGAAGTGCTGCAACAATTAGTTAATTTGTTGAAAGTTTTATAATTCACTTTTTTACTGCATAATCCAGTTTTTATACTTTTATTGTAAAATTGAAACGTGCAGAAATGTGTAATATTGTGTCGGTGTGTTCTTCTCTCAGGGACCATTTACTGCATCACTGGATTGCTCTGCTCGCAGATTGTCCAGTCACCACTCAGATGTACGAGGACACTGCACTGATTAAGGACCGCTCATTGGTAAACTCTCTGATCAGAGTATTACAAACTCTACAGGAGTTCAACATCACCCTGGAGGCTTCGCTTGTCAAAGGAGTTGGTATCTAAACCCAACCAAGGAACATCACCGGGAACCACTAAAGAGAATAATTGAACCTTTATATGCAGGAACCCACTTGAGCAAAGGACATTTTCTGGCTTATATTAAAGCTACTGTTACATTTGCCATATATATTAAGTGCAATGAGCCTTTCAAGATATGTTATTTTTTTCCTCGACAATGTTGCCATTAGATGTTAAAATTATGTTTTAAAAACGTTTTCTATTATGACCCATGATTTTCACATTATTGACGATGACCTACTCGTGCTATGTTTTATTGACAGCTAAATATTTTCATTGTTATCGTGCTGACTGCTGACAATGGCTATATTTAAGGGAAAGTGAGGATCAAAACTGTTAATATATATTTTCAGAGAAAAACAGTATTATTTTGTTAAATCAGTCAAGTTGCTTGCTCTGTTGTCAACTCAGATTCCAATGTCATTACGCAGAGCTTGAAGCAAATTTTTGCAGAAGTATGCTTTATAAGTATCTGTATGACAGGTAGTTTGTAGTGTGAAGATGAATCACATACAGATGAATAAAAAGGCTGTTACATTTGGCCAATTCCCTGAAAAATGTACCAGTTTGCAGATCTTGTAGATTTAACACCTAAAAATTACCCTTTTTGCATGATTTTGACTGTGTGGCTTAAGCCTGTTGGACAGTTTATCCAGTTGGATAAGGGAGAATACCCCAAGTCCTCCAGAAGATGCTTTACCTGGCTTTCTGTGCAAAGTGGATCAAATTGACAGCCTTCATGTAAATACCTCCAACCAACTGTTTCTGCCTACCATCATCCCAGCCCTAACACTACATCTGCCCTGTTCTCTGAACAAAGACGAGTGGTCGCGTCGATCCTCATACAGAATGGTCTGCTTGGTTTCCCATATGAGGACAGCTCATCCCCCTATCCTGATTTTCTCATCATGGTTTCTTGCTATGCAATATTCACAAGTTTCAACCCTCTACAAACTACATAGGGGTGTCTTGGATGTTACCAGGCCCTCCTCTGTTACATGCATTGAACTTTACTGTGCAGAACAAGAGATCAAATATGTGAAGGACTTCTTTTCTGTGCCAACAACGTCTGGAATGACTGTGTTGTACTCGTCTGTGTACGACCCACACATGAGCATCTTGGGAGATATATATTTTTGTTTTCCAATACTGTTGTACATTTATTGACATAGCTGTGTAACGTAGTGTTTACTAAGTGAGCAACACTGTACAGTGTAAAAAAATATTAAGAATAAAGCATCTGTAATGGGTTGGAGTGAATTGAATTGTTTTTATAGATGACCAGTCATTCTTTTATATTATTTTATTTTCTGCTGAATGGGCTTTCTCTGGTTAGAAAATGTGTCCTTCAAAAATCCACAAGACTCGGCTTCTTAAATGTAAATAATTATTGGTTTTAATAGCCTACGACATTTCAGTCAGCCTGGCTTCAGGATTATTAGTTAATTAATACAAACAATTTTTCAAGTAGGTCTATGTGAAATTAAGTACACACAAATTAAGTAATTTTACCTATATTGATCACTGTTAATCATTTCCAGATGGGTTGATAATGAAAATAATTGTAGATTTTTGTTCACATTTCCTCTATTAATATTATTTTAAAAATATCGGAGGATTAAAAATGTCTCGAATTCAAAAGTTAATCACAGTTAGTCATCATTAAACAGTTGTGAATCAAGTGTAAGTGTAGATCATGGTGTGCACACGGTACCAAGCACAGACAAAGCTTTATAATCTCCGCTCAATGTGCCTTCTCAACTGAGAAAATGTCAACAAACCCGTTCGCGCCATGTCAAATGGCTGTTTTTCTTTAAAGCCTGAGGCCAGGTGCTTCATGGGATGTTGAGTTTAAAAAAAGAGGCCGTTGAAACTGAAGGCGTACATATTTCCCGCTCGTTCACTACACCTCCCATCATTCATCTCTTCTGAAGAGGGGTCGAGGATAGCGCCCATTGGTTGAAACCCGGTTCAAACTCGACTGCTGCACTCCTTATATGGGCATTGTACGCATATTCCTTTCATTGCTGCTTTTTATGCTAATCGTATTCTAATGGCCAGCTGTATGCATTAGTAGTAAGAGCATGCGCAGTGCGTGAAAAGAATACGGCGAAGATTCAAAGTTTTGTTCAGTAAGTCGCTTTTAATTCTCTTCCACAGGAATTACGTTTGTGAAATTGTACTTGTTTGTTTAGCGTGGAAAGACCGGTTGTGTTTTGATATTGTTGTAAGCTGACGTTGTGTGTGTACGAGGACTAACCCACTTGACAATAGGATAACGTGGAAGTGAACGAGAGTGTGGCGTGGTAATGGTAGCAGAGTCGGTTAGCTAGCATGCTAACAGCTAACAACAATGAACCGTATTTGGCGCTCTAGCGGGCGAAAGTTTGAATTTAAAGGGAAGGTATGCGTTCATTGCAATTTTTTCTGAATGCCATTCAAATGTGGACAACATTTGCATAAAAATTGCATAAAGTTTGCACCAGTGTGTTATGTAAGGTTGCACATAATTCACCGGAGAGCCCGGTAGCTTTTTGTTTCTTCACTTCAAAAAAAAAAAAAAAAAAAAAGCGCTGCTGCTGCTGCTGCCCGCTTTCTGCGTCGACTAATCACTGTAAACAAATGACTGACCCATGCCCCTGTGTTCACTGCTTTCTTATGTTGATTTCTAACAACTTACATTGGTTTAAAGTTAATTTAAAAGTGACATAAACGTAAGAATAAAACACGGTAAACGATAGTGAAGCTTATTGGTGTTTGAGTGTTTGAATGTGCGGGAGACAACATCATGTATTACTGCATCAGATTTAACTTCTCTTCAACACTCCCTTTGTTTAATCAATATCACCCGGTTAGGACATTATTATTATTATTATTATTATTATTATTATTATTATGTGTTTTTGTGTGTTGCTTGTTCCCGCAACTTTGCTTCAATAGTTAAAATATGTTTTTTGTATTTTCCAAAGATTGGCTTGCTGTTTTCAATTCAGTTCACTTAAAAAAAAAAAAAAAAAGCTTCTCTGCTCAAACCGTGTGTTTCGTGCGATATGTATTAAAAATTTAGTGTTGGGATAGATTTGCCTGTGTGCGTGTTTATGTGTGCGTACTGGGACCGCCCCCTTTTCTAGTAGTAGTAGTAGTAGTAAGCGACTGTCTGCAGACATCCACGGTGCGTGTAACGGAGACTGGGAGAATAACCTTCATTTGTTGTCGATTTACAGGTTTCTTTCACAACACTGAACAACAAAATGTTCGGCTTTCACAAGTCAAAGATATACCGGAGTAACGACGGCTGTTGCATCTGCAAGACCAAATCCTCCAGTTCACGGTTCACAGACAGCAGTCGATATGAGGAGACGTTCAGACTGTGTTTTGGGTAAGAAGCTCTCATTCATTCATTCATCTGCTGTATTTGTATCATATGAATGTGCTTATGAATTGCTTATATGTACATAACGCAAGTATTTTCAATGACTATCAGGAACTTTAGCAATTGTGCGTTTCATTCATTTTTTTTCAGGCTATCAGAAGATCGTGTTGGAGACATTTGTAATGCATGTGTGTTACTGGTTAAGAGGTGGAAGAAGCTACCAAATGGCTCCAAGAAAAACTGGAACCATGTAAGTAATATCTGCTTACAATAGCAGGAATTATATCTCAGTCTCATTGTCCTGCTCTAACTTTAAATTGACTGGATGGTTTTCCTGACTTGACTCAGGTGGTTGATGCCAGAGCTGGACCAGGCTTCAAGATGACAAAACCCAAGAAGATTAAAAACAGTGATGGGAAGAGGAAAAGCAAGCTTAAGAAGCTTCACAAGTTAAAGAGACAAAGTAAGTTGGCAAATAAATAACAAGAAACTGGCATGTGTCAAAAAAAAATTGTCTAGTGTTTTTTTCTTTTTTTTTTCTTCCAATTTTAAGTTAAATCAATAAAAGGCCTGTACCAGAAGCAGGATTGAAGTCGGGATGTAACTCTATGGCACAGTTATCCCGTCATAATAACATACGCTACACACCCTACCAGCTCAGGTAACCTAAGTTTAGGTAGGGAGCAACTGATAGAAAGCAACACGACAATATAATCAAAGGCTCAGATTTTTTATATTAAGATTTAGTCTTGCACCAATACCAATGATTTTACTTTTTACTTTACTCTAACCCCAACCCTATTACCATTTTTCTTTTTGTTTGATGTTTCTCTCCTGCCTCAATACTTTCTATGTATATGCTGAAAAAAAGTTCTCTTTAATGTGAAAGTGCTCATGTAGATTACAAAACTCTAGGTTGACTTATAACTTGGATAACTACAGCAATTTGACTACCTTGTTCAAAGCTAGTCATTACTCTTTATGAAGCAGGTTAACTAAAGGATATCCTGGGTATGTTAAATTTGAGTCATAGTGCATGCCTCTGGTTCTAATCCAGACTCTGTGTTGACTTACTGTCAGTCTACGTAGTTTTTATTAAAATATATACTTTTATATTGTCCCCTTCTCATTGGCACTTCTCCACTCAAATGATCAGTAACTGTTAAGATTTTAGTATTTTACCCACGACAGCATGTAATCGTCTCTTTGATTTCCAAGCAGACTCAGATGCCCACAGTACGACCTCCAGTGTGTCTCCTGCTCAGTCCCCGAGTTACAGCAACCTGTCAGACGACGGCTCAGACATTGAGTCAAAACAAAGACGCACGACTCCCTCGATCTTCTCTTTTTTGGACCGATCTTACTGGAAAAGGCAAGTTTCTGCTCTCATTGAAAACTTTTGATAACATCACGTATTTCAAAATGTATGTCTTGAAACATGAATAAAAACTGATTTAAAATATGCCCGTTTTTCCCAACCAGGCAGAAGGTGTGCTGTGGGATTGTCTATAAGGGGCGGTTTGGAGAAGTGATTATTGATCCTCGACTCTTCAAGCCCTGCTGCAGTTCCAAAAAACAGAAGACACTGGCGTCCACCAAAGTGGCCGCACACCTTCCGGACACACTTCCAGCGCAGCTTCCAGAAGACATCAAAGAAACATGGTGATGGCTTTAGTAAATTCCCCTGTAGGGTTATCCATGGCATCCACATGGATTTGTCTCCAGTGGCAGACCTCTGAATTTCCAATCCCCAAATTATACCTGTTAGATGTTCCTTTGTTAAATTCCTTTTCATATGGGTATTTTTTAACTTTTGTATAGAGTTGATTTCTTTTTTATATAAAGCAAAATGAAAAAAATATCATGGGCATTAGTGTTATTTATAGGATAAGGAATTTTGTTGCCACTCTGGTCTCAGGTATAACTTGGTCTCGATTAGTGTGGTCTTGACTACAACAGTAACTTCCGCACTGAAAAGCCGTTGTGGCAACAAATCTTCATGATAACGGCATTTTGAATTTTTCAAAAGTTTGCCGATGGTAGCCATAAGCTAATGTTCGCACCTTAAGACGCAACGAAAGTCCTGAGTGTAGTTACATAAGCAAAGATGCATTCATTATGAATTCAGCTTTTCATTCATAAGAGGAAGAAAAGTGTAATTTCTTTTCTAAAGTTACAGTCTTCCTTTCAAAGAAGTTTTTGCATCTCAATCAGCAGCAGCTGTAGGATCTTTCCTGACACGAGCAAGACATGTGTTCTTGAAGTGTCTGAGTCACATTTTAATTCAGAAGATATTTATTTTTTTCTCAATGTGACATCAATCAAAAGAAATTGAATGAATTTAATAGGCAGTAATATGTTGGCAAGTGCATTTTTTAACAGGTGGCAAGTTGTTGATGTTTCCCCAGGGTGGCAGTTGGTGTCACAGGTGCTGCTTCTCTCCGCATCACTGTGCTTCAGGGGGAATCATTGGTCGTGTTGGCAGAGAGTGCTGTTCTGTCAAGGTGCATTATTCTTTTCACCGAGCGTCACGTCCCGAACTTCAGCTCTGCACGGCTCCTGGCCTCAGCTCCCTCGGTCTTTTTTCTTTCAGCTCCTCCCATCGCTGCTATCACCCACCACCAACATCACCTTCCACTTTCACCTCTCCCGTGTTTTATCAGTCCTCGCGCTCTGCCTGAGGGCTGTTTAACACCGACATATCCCATTAACCCTAACTGTGATTTGTCCTCAACTCTTACATGCAGGGGTATTTCAAAAAGAGCAAACGCGTGAGTTTATTTGTAACGTATACTCGTACAGAATGACACTGAACACACTCTGATTCATCTAATGTCGTGCTACAGACTCAGCCAGCAATGAGAACAAAAAGGTGACCCACTGTATGATAAAATGATAGATAAGCATGACGATTTTCCCGAAAAAATAAATGCTTTATTTTATTCTTTATATATTTGTTCCTTTAATGCTGTTTTTGTGATCTTCAGAAAATACACTATGGGTCCCACACCATATTAGATGAAACCATGTTTAATACAACATCAGTGACGTCACATTTTGGTTTCTAAAGAGACATCATGAAGGCAAAAAAAATGGCGGTAAGCATGTTGGAAAGCTGACTCCGATTAACTTCCGGATAATGTAGAGTTATGGCAGTCATAACTGTCAATTGGTTTTCAGTCAATTAAACTGCAACTTATTTTATTTTATTTTCATTTTATTTTCAGTCAGATTGAAATAATGGTTGCTGAAATACGCCCAGCTCTAGCTTGTCATCTATAGCTTGTATATTCCAAACATTAAAAACAGCACAGACAAAGCCTACAGTTTAAGGTCTGTGACAGGAGTTCAATTGAAGCCTAGCATCCTGGCAAACAGCTAAAAACCACCCACCTGTCATAGAAATCAACCACACCCCTTATTATGCACGGCTCTTAGCCTTGACATAATCAAAACAGATGTCTGAAAGCTCCAACTTGCTTACATGCCGCTGAAATGAAAACAGAGCTGTCACGTAGCAGTTGCTCAGCTGCCTAGCAGCCTGAGGGATTAGTCATTCTGTAAAATTAGTTGTTTTCCTCAAACTTGCCTGTTCCTATCCGTTCCACTATGGAACAGATATGACTTGATGAAATGAATCGTTAACCCGTTTATTCCCATGCTTGTTTGTGTCAAATCTCCATTCATAGCAAAGATGATAAGGCAATTTAAAAAGGGATTGAAAAAATCCATATGAATTGAACTCGAAGATTGACAAGAGGGAAACCACATACGACCTCTGAACATGTTTCCTGTCAAGACCTCTTCTGCAAGCTCTTGCTTGGGTTTGCAATTTTCTCCGCAGTATGGGACTCTATACTTCTCCTTGACATAGCTGTTTTGAATGCAAACCCATTTGCTCTGCATTAGAAAGGAAAATGAATGCATTTAAAAGAAACCTCAGTCAGCAACAATGTAAAGTTGCAGTTTAAACAGAGGTTGCTTTGGCGCCCTGTGGTGATCACCAATTGACAACGTGTAGCGACAAACGCACCTTTGATGTCAATGCGACAATCAATAAGCACTTTGTAAATTCTTTTCATCACATGGAGATAAATATGACTATGCAACTTTCGAGTGCGCTTTTGCAGAACTCTGCCTTGTGTTAAAAACCTACAATTGCATTTCAAGGTTTGAGATTGAATCACTCTCCCGTTGACAACGATTTCCAACTAGCCTGCTGTTCCAACTCTGAAGCAAAGCTCAGCACTAACAGAGCCGCATTATTCGCCATTGACCCAATTACATCCTACATAGATCATGTGATACATATTTCTCTTGCTCTGCTCTCTATGTCTTGTTCACCCTTTCCTTCCTTTCTTTCTGCCCCTTCTTGATGAATAGCTTTGCTTTTTAGGACAGATGACAGCTCTGTGATTAATTGCGTGTGCTGTTTCACTCTTCCGGCCACCTCGCTTCCATTTTTCCATCTTATTTCTGTTTCACAACCTGCGTAACAAGAGAAATACTCCTTCGCTGGGTTTGCCCTATCAGCATATTCCCATAAATAAAAGAGGGGGAGAGGTGGAGGTGGAAACAGAGAGGAGGGGAAATGGAGGGAAGTGTGGCCCAGAGGCAGGGCAGTGGGCATGTGCGAAACGGAGGGGTGAATAGATAGAGAAAGAACAGGGGGAGACGAGCCAACTGCTCCAGATCAGGGGTGTGAAGGTTACTGCAGAGAGTGAGACAGGGAGAGATAGAGATGAAATAAAATAGAAATGCAAATGTTAAAGAGCAGGAAATTGACTTCTGAACACGGAAAGTACTGCTTAAAAAATAAAATCAGCTTGAAGATAAGGATGGATAGATTAGGGGGGGGGGAAGAGACATACACTCAAAATGAAAGATACTGATAAATTGACAGGACCGATGAATAAAAAGGTGGATTGTGTCAAGATGTCAGAACAATTTCCACAGTATGAAATGAAATGCACAAACCAAACTCTAGTTCCGCCATCCTTTCATAGTTCGGGAAAAAAAAAAAGGCCTTCGACTTTCGCTCTATAAAAGAAGCTTTAATGCAGAACATGACAGGAGGATGAACAGCAGACCAGGAGGTAAAGGAGTGGACAAAAAAAAAAAAAAGAGGATGTGAAGGAGCAGTGATTGCAGCGAGGTGTGCCCCGTGGCAGGACGTCATGCTGTGCTTAATGAGGCAACAGTGCAGGCAATTAGTTCTTGATATGACATTATCCGTCACCAATAACTGAACGCATCATTAACCATAGCCTCTTTCCCTCTGCCTTACGCTCACATATAAACAGAACATATGCACGCACTTAAAAAAAAAAAAAAAAAGACTTTATATAATACTTGATACATCTGTTTTTTTCCCAAATGAATCTGCTCAGAGATAATCCTGGCTTTTGGGTCATTTCAAGCTTAATTATTTTAATAAGTTTGTATAATTAAGGCATTTTGCAAGAAGTTTATTATGTTCAATATTAAAAGGGGGCATTCTGGTGTAGCTGTCATATCGCAGCAACTGAGAAGTCAGGTGCATATAGTCTAAAGTGCCTTAACTCAGCAAAATGTTAACATTTAACCAATACTACGATAAAAGCCCATATAGAGTACCCTAGAAGTGGTGTGTTAGCTTGCTTCAAACTGCAGGAGCAGCTGATGACTCATGCAATGTGTTGCTCTGGCGCAATAAATTCTCCATAGTGTGTCTGGACATTGAATGCTGAAGCAGACTGAATCATCTGTGAAGCAGCCAAGAACCTCTGATGTCAAACGTAATGAGGAGCTCAAAAGAGTCTCACAAGGGCTGTAAGAGAAATCAGTTTAGTAAATTAATTCTATCCCATTTAGCTTCCAAGAGCGTACAGAAGGGCATGTGTATATGTGACGGATACAAAAGTCTCACCTATGTGTAAAGTCTTCTGATCAGGGTCAATGCAGCAGATTCCTACTCTGTACAACTACTCATGTCTGGAATTGAGTAGAACACAACGGATCAGTGAAATACTCAGAAAAAAATACTCATCCTAAGTAATGCATTGTACTTGTTTTCTGTAGAAAATTAGTTTCCCAAGAACTCCAAACTAAGGTATCAAGTACAGCACTTGAGCGGGAATAGGGAAAGATAATCATCTTGGTGTGACTTAAGCACAAGGATGTATTTTGTGTTTACTTTCATGTAACCGAAAACATCAACCAAATCATATCAGATTTTTTGCTAATCTTGTCCTGCACATGTGCAAGAAGTGTTTACGGACTAAAATGTCATCCTGCTGTCTTTTATGAGTCTTTCATCACTCTCTATGAGTCTTTGGCTTGGAACTGAAAACAATGTCTGTGTCTGCAATGTGCTGGAACTCACTTTGTCTACCGTCTGCCTCCCCAGGAGAGACTTCAAAAATTAACTCTGGTTTGCTTTTGTAGCTAAAAAAATAGGCATTCATATTAATCTCAATCTGTTCCTTATCCAACTAAAAAAAATCCTCACAGTAGCTTTTTCCACATGCTGGACTTAGGATGGGAATCATCAGAACGAGGCCAACAGACAGCAGACTCAATAACAGACTGAGGACAAATTAGTTTAGACCAAATATCCTTCACTTGAAGCAGGGCTCGATAAATGGATACTCCATACCAAATGGGGATCAGTACAATTTCTAGTCGAAGGCTCGGTCAAGGTACATTGGAGGAAAGACAAGAATGCTGGAAGGCTAACCACAAAGAGCTAAGACGAACTGACAGTGGACAAGGAGAGCACAAGGACTAAATACACAGGGGAGAATGGGTGATGAGGGACATGTGAAACTAATAAGACAGGTGAAACTGATCAGAGTGGCGCAGACAATCAA